CCCCAAAACCCCAAAACCCCAAAACCCCAAAACCCCTGAAACTTAAAGTAATTGTAGGCTTAAATGTTATAATTGTTTGTTTTTCATAATGGGTGAAACTTTTAGTAAAAAGAAACATACTCCAAAGAATAGAGTGACAAAGAAGACTGGCAAGACCGAAGCTTATTATCAAAAACTTTCAGTCTTAAGAAATTTCAAGGCTTCTTGAGAATACTTTAAGCTAAATATTAGCGCACAAAAGAAAATACTGAATCTTTATCAGGACCAAATTTTGAATGTTTGATGAGCAAGAATCAGTCAGATCAACAACCAACTTGTCTCACTTCAACAAGAACTAGAGGCTTATGACCCTGAGAAGGTGAGGATTGATGATATCACATACAAGGAGCGTTATGTAGACCTTGTGAAGAAAATCAACAAGGTTTTAGAACAATCTCAGCAGATTTTACAGGCAAAAGAAGGAGTAAGGGTATCCATCAAATCCGGTGATCCTAATAATAAGACAAGCAGAGCTAAGCTGGAATCTGTAATCCCCCAGGAGATGCTGACCAATCAGAAGTCTGAAGATATTAACTTCACAGTGTTTACAAATCTCTATACGGAATTTAGCAACAGAACATGGAAGAAAGAACTCAGTAATGAATTGGAACTCAATTTAGAAGGAATACTCTGGCGATACTTTATGAAGAGGCTCAAGACTTTGACTTTTCCCAATCTAGATAAGCTGTGTTTGAAAAATATATCTTATAGTGATCTTCCGTTACTAAGGAAATTCTTGATTACTTCCTTTTCAAAAAAAGTTGATAGCTTACAGATGCTCTTTGTTGATAAGAAATCTGGGAGAATTGTCAAGTTCATACGTGACATCCTAAATGCTACTTATAAGGTAAAGGCCAGAGTTTAATCCAGCCTTTCCTTGAAAGTCGCCTGGGAGGCGAAGTTGTGCATCGTCAAGTATTGAAATATATTCAACAATGAGAATTTACAGTAAAATCATCGGTGACTTTTCGGAGGTGAACTATTCGCCAGCCTTCATTAATGAGACTGTTCAATGGTATATGAAATAAGCAGGAAGTATTCTTTAGTCAGTGTGACATTTTTGTACAAAGTGTGCCGAACTTTGCCCATGCGCTGGATGGAAGTACTCTTAATTCAATGGTATTAGGAAACTGTCGGATAACAGGAAATACCTCACAAGATAGTGAGGCAGATGGCTTTAAAAACTTGATACTCGGGCTTTCCAAGTCAGTAGATTTTAGAAACTCTCTTCAAAAGCTCATACTAAATTTAGGTTTTTACAAGAAAGCTACTGGAAATATCCTGGAAGAAAACGGGTTTAGACAAGCCCAGGTTATCCTAATGTAAAATGTTGAACTGCATGCTTCACTCTTGATATCGATCGTGACTTGATTGTTAAATCTCAGTTAAATGAGTTGAGATAAATTCAGGCCAAGAGTGTCCTTCATGATGGATAACCACTAAATTTTTGCTCTAAAGTTCATTATATTTTCTATCAACTTCGGGAGATTGAACTATTTTACAAATTTAAGCTCTTAAAATTACCCTTAAAGCATTTATTATTTTAGATTCTAGAAAAGCATTCAATGATGAAATTAACTCTCGGGGTTTTGGGGTTTTGGGGTTTTGGGGTTTTGGGG